TAATACTGCAGAGTCAGCATGCAAACTTTTGACCCCTACTTAGTGCTGAGTTAACAGGTTGTGACCTCTGACCTTATGGTAAATGATTACTGCTGTTGTATACGTGTTCCAGCATAGCTATGCATGCCTACACTTATGTTACAACAATCAATCGATACTGCTCACCTTATATTATTTCCCCTTCTATTGTATTTCATTTGGATTTCACCATTCTTAACCCTCTTATTTTACTCACAACTATTATTTTTGAGTTTTGTTATATTCTTTCATTGATTTTTGTTTCATCGTATTGAAAAAAAAAGATGTTGAGACTTTTGGAAAAAGCGCAGAGAAGAGCAACTGAGATAATTAAAGGCCTGGAGACTAAATTATATGACGGACGGTTGTGGGATTTGGGTTTGGCCAGTCTGGAGAAAAGAAGGACCAGGAGGGACAAGATAGCAGTCCTCCAATATTTGAGGTGGTGCCACAAAGAAGAGGAAGGGGTCAAATTATTTTCCAAAGCATCAGAAGGCAGGACGAGAAACAACTGATGGAAACTAATGGAGAAGAGTAGCAACCTGGAATTCAGGAGAAACTTCCTAACAGGGAGGACAATTAACCAGTGGAACAGCTTGCCACCAGAAATTGTGGACGCTCCACCCCTGGAGACTAGAAGAAACTAGATGGTCATTTATCTGAGATGGTCTATAGCTTCTGCTTGAGCAGGGGGATGGACTACTACTATTCAAGTTAACAAAGGTGAAGAAGATCAGCCTCTCAGTCCTGGGGTCGAGTCTATATTTATTGCAAATGGAACATTTTTGCAGAAGCAGAGAATTTTGGCGTTAGCCCTTAGCACCGAATTCATTTATTCTGAACAGACCAACAAGACCTGGATAGTGACTGAAAAAGAAGAGGATACAGTTGACAGGGTCTTGAGAATAACAATGTTTCAGGTTCCTTAGATCAGAAACTTTTGTTCTGAAGTCTCCTGGAAAATAGACTGGTTTTATATCGCTACTTAGTTGATAACACCTGGGTATTTATTTATAGGGGGGGAAATGTCTGGGCCAAATGTAATTTCTCATGTTGGATTTTCCCCCTTACCAGAGGGAGCCCCCTTGTGGAGTACTGTGAATCCGTACTCCACTGCGCTGTACAGTAGAAGCCACTTTAAGGCACAACAGGCTGTATCTTAGCAGAACACACACCCAGGAAGGTGGGAGGTAGGGATGTTTTAGCCCCACAGTGTTTATTTCCAGAGAGTAAGCCATCTGTGCACCAAATTTGGTTGAAATTGCTCCAGGCATTCCAGAATTATGCTGGAATATACACACACAAAGAGCCATTTTTATATTTATAGATTATTATATTGCTATGCCAGTAAATCTTGAGTTACAACCCCAATTGAGCCCAATAATTCTGTTGCTAAGTGAAGCATTCGTTACGTGAAACATTCGTTAAGAAATGGTATACAGGGTTTCCCGTCTGCCTGAGCAGGGGGTTGGACTAGAAGATCTCCAAGGCCCACTTCCAACTCTGTTATTCTGTGGAGTTTGGCCCCATTTTTCTTGCCATGGTTGTTAAGTGAATCACTGCAGTTGTTAAATTGGTCACATGGGCGTTAACTGAATCCAGCTTCCCCATTTGACTTTGCTTCTTAGGAGGTTTGCAAAAGGGGAATCCCGGAATGCTGTGACCGTCGTAAATATAAGGCACTTATCCACCATGTTTGTTTGTGCAAAATGGTGTTTAGTTACTTTTTTGAGTGCCGCTGTAACTTTGAATGGTCATTAAATGAACTGTTGTAAGTCGAGGAAATTAGAAAGCCGAAACAGAATAGAATTTACCGGTATTTGGCCCAGTCTGATTAGATACAGGAGACATTGGTCTGGTGACTTAGGAAACGCACTTTAAGAAAAGTTCAGATGCTTTTACTTTGGTTTTAAAGACTTCTTTCCAGCTACTTACATAAAAGACTTCAAACCCTGAGGATTTTATTCTTCTTGAGGTGCCCTGAAAAATAAGAAACCGTATTTATAATAAATAATAATAAACCAATTCAATCTTTTTTTAAAAAAAATCCAATTTTAAGTAATTTGTCTACTGGGATCATGCAAGACCCCCAGATCTCATGGCAATTTAGCCCCAGAGGTGCTTAAGTAGCTCTGGAGATTTCCTTTCTGCTCACGCAGGAAAAAATATATCAATAAATCTCTTTATTTGAAGGCAAACCCCCAAACAATGAAGGAAAAAATCAGTATTTTGATGGGAAATGCAGGCTTGGGGGCTTGGATAGGGAAGTAGAGAAGACAGTTCAAAGGACACAAATATCTTCCTTGCTGTTGCTCAAGATGTCCCTAGAAGATATTTGGAGGAATGATGATGATAATGAGGAAGAATAATTCTATATATTCATTTCGATTCCGGCGTCTTGAAAGGAGGCAGGTGAAGCGCGCTTTCCAGCGTTCTCCTCGTTAGTATAGTGGTAAGTATCCCCGCCTGTCACGCGGGAGACCGGGGTTCGATTCCCCGACGGGGAGATGGCAAACGTTTTTAATGAAGAAACGTATGTACTTGTTGGGTATTTGGAAAGATGAAGAAGCGCAGCGGCCTTTGAGAGGAAATGAATGGAAAAGGCTCGGTTCGGCCGAGGAATAACGAGCCCTTTACCCCATGAAATGAATGGGCGCCAGAAGCCACGCCCCCAGGCGCGAATGACGTCATTGAAGGCGAATCTCGCATGAATGGGGGAAAAAATCCTAACCTTTTCCCCACCCCAGAGATGTTTCTTAGATATCCCAGATTGGAGGGGGGCGGAGGGGGGGGGGAGAATCAGTTGCTGAAGACCACGGCAAATTCTCATCCTGGAAGGTTTTCCTTTTAAATGTATGTATTGCTTTGATTAGATTAGCCTCGTTCCTATACTACAACATAATTATATTATGTACTAATTACATACGGTATTATATGGTAGTCTATACTATACTATGAGTATATATTGTAATATGCAGCACTAATATAGTCTACTATAATGTATAATATAGTAGACTATTAGTACTGCATATTATACCACTATTGCGTAGTATATAGTTATAATATCTCTGTGCGTGCATAACTATGTTAGTACTGCATGTTATATAGCTAGTATGTGGCATATAGTATAATATTTCTATTTGTGTGTGTGTGTGCTTAACTATATTAGCACTGCATATTATATAGCTAGTATGTGGCATATAGTATAATATTTCTATTTGTGTGTGTGTGTGCTTAACTATATTAGCACTGCATATTATATAGCTAGTATGTGGCATATAATCTCTCTATATGTGTATGACT